ATTAAACACCTGGGCAGTGCCATCCCCTTGTCAGTGGGACTGAGTTTGTTCCTCATAGAGACCCACCCTGACTTCCTGTCTGAGATCCTTACCCAGTGATGGTTCCTCAACCACTGAGTTGAAGAGCAGTGTGGGAAGAGGACTCTTGCCCATGTGGCTCCCTTTATTTTTGCTTTGTTTTGGTGCTACTGAGGATGGAATTCAGGGATGCTCCACTACTGAACTACATTCCTGCTCCCCCATTTTTTTGCAGTACTGGAGATCAAACCTAGAGCCTTCAAACTAAGCTACATCCCTTGCCCGATTTTCATTTTTTATTTTGACACAGGTCTCACTAAGTTGTTCAGGTCAGGTTTGCACTTGCAATCCTCCTGCCTCGGCTTCTCAGGTAGCTGCAATAATAGGCACACGTGGTTTCTTGAGAAAGCATTTCTAGGAGAAACCTGCAAAGGTGTGCAGGAGGCAAGGCGAGGAGGGAGCTCAGGATGGAGCAGGTCCAGCTGGAGGTCAGTCACAGCCTGTCCCACGGGGCGCTGGGTGTGAAGAGAGCACAGAGCTGTCTGGCTGGAGCAGACGGGTCTGGCCTGAGCCCTGTGCCAGCCCTGAGAGAAGGGGTGAGCCTGGGCATCCCCAAAGGATAGGAGCAGTTGTCAAGATGATGGCAGCTGCCCGCCAGCGGGGTCAACACTCACAACACACAGTGGATAAAGGGGATCCAGTGGGGCCCCGCAGCATCTGCCTCACCAGCTCCGCATGTGGAACTGGAGCTTGTCCTTCCTGGGACTGGACTGGGCTACACTGTGGGGACAGAGCTGCCCGAGCTCTGGGCCAGCTGAGCTCAAGCCACTGTCCCCATCCTCTTAAATGGTCCCAGGGTGCCCACAAAGGGCTCTTTGTGCCCTGCAAATTCACAGGCCTGGCCTCCTGCAAGCAGAGCTAAGGTCAACCAGCTCTGGGCAGCAGGAAAACCATCCAGAGCTCTCCCTGAAGACAGCAGAATCCCTCTGTCCTTTGCCTTGGTTCCTCACTCCCTGCAGCTGGGAACCCAAATGCCAGCTCATTGTCACCCTCTCTGTCCCAGCCTTGAAGCTAGGCATCTCTCATCCTCCATGCCCACTGGAAAGCCCCAGGGGAGAGCAGCAAAAGCAGAACAGAAAGGCACAGCCCTGGTAGGAAAGTCCAGAATGAGAGGGAGGAAGAATCCCCTTTGGGGATTCTTTTTGATGATTTTGTTTTTAGTTTCCTAACATGCACCTGGCAGAAGGGAGACCGGGCTTGGGGAAAGGAGGGATGTTCTTGCTAAGTTCCCAAGGTGGCCCCCTCTGTGCAGAGCCACCAGCTGGCCAGGAAGAGTCCCCGGAAAGGCTTCCCCTTAAACCAAGGGGAGAGCAGGAGATGGGAAGGAGGAGCACCTGGCCTGGAGCCAGGTGACCACCCAGAGTTGGGGCTGCTTCAAAAATCCTCATGTCCAGGCTGCAGCCTGGACCAATGACATCTGGCCATCAGGGAGCCTCCCCCAGTCCTGCCAGTGTCCAAACACTGAGATCTGGCAGGGATAGCGCTGTGTAGACTGAGGACAGTACCAGATGTATTTCAGAGCAGCCTTTGAAAAAAGGATCAGAAGTTTTAGAAGCATCTAAAAGCAAACAGGTTTGGATATTAAGTAGCCCCTCCCTATTATTCATATTTCCAAGGACAAAGGGGTCAGTGTAGGGCATCCCAAAAGGTCAGCATATGGGAGCAGAAAACTGGTGCACAAAGGAGTTCCTTCTTACCGGCCAGGGCACCGGAGTCACAGAAGCCAGGAAGTCGGCTGTGGCCCCAGGCCTAGTGCAGAGGAAACACATAGGAGGCCTGCAGCTTCCCCTTTAGGGCCTGTCCCCACCTCTCCTCCGAGCCTCGGGGACAACTGGATCTCCTGGGTCACAGAAAAAAGTTCTCTGGCACCGTGATTCATACTACAGTGGTAAAGTAAGTCTACCTCAGTAAGATCTCCCGAGGGCATCAGATTTGTAACCAAGCACTGACAGGGCAGGCAGTGCCAGGGTCCTGGGGCCTCAGTCAAGGCCCTCATATCAGGGTGGGAGGAAGTGCCAACGGCAAACAGGAAACCCTGGCCCCATTGCGCCACACGAGGAAGGAGCCTTGACTGTGGGCTGGGCCACTGCCAAGATCTAGAGATGCCAAGAGATTCCACACAGAGAGAGGTGCACAAACTTGGGCCTGCAGAGCTCAAGGAGCACACTCAGTGTCCTCTGAAAAATTCAAAGTAGCCCCACACCTCAGCCACCCAAGACCACTTGCTGGCCAGCTGTGTCTGTCCCCTCTGCTCTTTGCTCACCCCACAATCCCTCCCCACATCATCTGCTCCATCCCTTCCCCCGATCCTGCATGCCAACCCCACCCCCTCCCACCCTCTCAGCCCCTCTGCTCAGGGACCCAGGACTGCACCACCCACGGGAGCCCTGATGTCAAGTGCAAAGCCTCGCCCCACCCCAAAAGAATTCTCAGCATGCAAAAGAGGCTGCCTCACCCTGCTAGAGGAAGAACCCCAAAGAGAAGCAGCCACTCACAGCGGGGCTCTGACTCCCAAGTGCAGGGCACAGAGCAGTCAGGGCGACTTTCTTGCTGATGACAGAACAGTGGTGACCACACAGGAGCACTCACTGAGTGCCCCTGCTCTGACTCCTTTAATTCCCAGTCGCCCATTAAGAAAGACCCCTCAGCCAGGGAGTGTGTGTGGCTCTGTGGTAGAGGGTGAGCCCAGCCGTGGTGGGCCCTGGGTGTGGGCCCCAGTGCACAAAGAGTGAAGATGCCTTATTATTGTCATTTCTCCTTTGCAGGTGATGCAGCTGGGGCCTGGAGAAGCTCAGCAAACTAGCCAAAGATACAGCTCCAGCCCACGACGCAAGGGCAGAGTGAAGCTCAAAGCAAGCTGGCCCAGCTGCCAAGCGGAACCCCACACACCCCAGCTTCTCTGGTACAAGGGGGAGATTCACCTCAATATCAACTTCCTGGCTAGAGGCTGGGCCCTGCTGGGTGCAAGTCAGAAAACCTCGGGTTTGGAAAAATCCCTAGCATTGCTTTCTGACTCAGCCCTGTGTGCTTTGCCTTGGCCTCCAGGAGCCCCAAGGGGAGGCTTCACTGTCACCAGCACTAGACAGACGAGGAGACAGGCCTCCCATCACACACCAGCATGAAGCCCAGGGCTCTTTCTGGGGTACCTGCTGAGCTCTGGGTATGAGGGGCTGATCCCAAAGGAGGAAGAGAAAGCAGGTAGCTTCAGGAACCAGCAACAGCAGCCCTGTCACTGGACAGGGCTCACAGTCAGTCACTGGACCCTCAGTCGCACAGCACAGTGTAAAGAATGAGCCCTCCCCAATCTGAACCCCTTTGACAATCCCCACTCTGCACACCCCCAGGAAAAGCCTCAGTCACTGGTAATGCCCAGGCAGGGGCCCCACCCAGGCTACCCAGGCCCAGGTTTGCCACAGAGGCTGCCCAGGCCGCACACAGGCCAAGGAAGAACTGAGACACCACAGGCAGACATGGAGCTGGGACCCCTGGCAGCTGAGTCTGCCCTGCCCCCACTCCCTCCTTCCTGCAGCTGGGCCCCACCTGGGCCTGCACCCTGGCCTCTGCACCTCCCCAAAGCTGTGGACAAAGGACCCCTGGCCAGGTGAGTCACCAGGAAACGCACTGCACAATGTGACACTCAGACAGCCACCTCCAGGCCAGACAACAGCTGACTGCTCTCCAGGAGGCCCCAGGGTGTCCACTTGCCTTAGGCCTTCCGTGGGTATTTAGGTGGAGACCCAAAGGCCCTCAGCTACCTGTCAGAGAACCAGGTGGGCAGGGCGGCCAACACTGCAGACCAAAAAGGCAGTGGGTGTGAACGAACAGGTGTGAGTGTGTAAGGGAAAGTGTGAGCAGTGTGCTCCGGTGTGCACAGCATGGGGGTGTGGTGCGAGGCGTGTGTACAATGTGTATGTCTGTGTGGGGTAGGAGGAGCAGACATCTGAGTGGGGTGTTCACGCCCGTGTGCATGGGGTGGCACACATACGGCTGTGTGAGAGACTGTGTGCACATGCGTTGAATGTGCACCATGGACGTGAAGGGCAGTGCCAGGGAAATCAAAGTTCCCAATTTCCTTCCCTTCCCACCACAAGCAGCACTGACACCAGCCCTGCGGGGCTTTCAACAACCAGGCAATGGGTCCACAAAGCGCACCAGCCAGTGCCCGCCCTTCCCCCACATCCGGTTCTGACCCTGCCACTTGGAGCCAGGACACAGTTCCCAGGATGTCCCCTCACGTGTCACATATCAGTCCAACGCTCGGGTGTGACCTGTGTTTCTAATCCCCAGCTACAAGAGAGGGTTCCCACAGAACCTCTTCCCAGGATTGATGAATTTACCACAGAGGATCTCAGAGAAACACTTCCTCATCTCCTCAGCTTTGTCAGAGGCACATCTGAGGGAAGAGTCTGAAGCCCACACCCGCCGGGTGCCGAACCTCCGGGTCCTCCCTGGAAGGCTCCACATGCCATCCCTTGGGGGTTTCATGTGGACCTCCTTGCACAGGTGGGGCTATGACTGTGACACCTGCTGCTGACAGCCAGTAGGGCCTGCTTTCTTCTTGGCCTCTGGGCAACAATCTCCCATGGGGTCTGGGGAGAACCCCAGTGGAATAAGAAGGGTCTTTCAACCTACAATAGGACCACGTCAGATGGGGAATCTAGATTCTGCCTTGGAGAATCCAGAGACTTAAGACTGTGGCACCCTCTCCCATGACCTCCAGACCGGAAGCAGCCTCTCTACCCATAGCCACAAGAGGCCCTGCAGAAGGCACCTGTTTCAGCCCTTCATGAGGAATCCATGTGACTGCACTGGGCCCAGGTGCAGTGGTGACATTGGCCCAGGACAGCATGATGAGAGGACGTTTCCCGACCAGCATGTCTCAAAACCCAGAGCTATTTTACAGGGTGGCTTTAATGACTGACCTGGGTAAGCACCAATTAAGCTTCCTTCCAGTCTAGTAATTAAGGATGTAAGCAGAGTCCTGGTCCCCTGGGAAGCTGTCCCACAGGCAAGGCCCACGGTCTACGTCCTGGTCCTATGTGTGGGCAGCTCCCTGCAGACCTACTGACTGATCCAGCAGGTGAGGAGGGGCTGGTTCAGTTCCCCATTTCCTGCAAGCACAGGTCTCTATGATGGCCCTGCGTCCTGTTTACTAGTGGTTTCCAAGTCACAGGCCACTCTGAGACTCACCTCTGACCTCACATCCCCTTCCTGAAGGGAACCCCACACTTCTTCCTTTTTTGGTGCTTTAGGCTGAGAATCACAGCTGCGTGTGCAGAAACCTTGGGGTTTTTCTCTCGTTGCTCCCTGGGTCAGAGTTGGAAACCCAAAGCCAGGATGGCTCCCTCCTCCTCCTCCCAGAGGAGGGCAGCTTCCTTGGACTTGAGGAGCAGTGGGGAGGGAGAAAATGGGAAGGAACCGGCATGCCCTGTGCCCTGCTGGGTGATTGCCACCGTGGGGCATCGTGTCCACCTCCCTTTAACCCGTGGACACACCCAACAGCGTGTAAAGTTCATCACCACACAAGTCTCCCATCCTTCCTGGAGCCAGACAGAGGGGCTTTTCGCAGGCTTCTGGGAGGCTGAGGGGGAGCCTGCCCCGGCATCATGCCGGCCCCCTCCTCAGCCTGTCTCCCAACAAGCTAGGAAAATCAGCCTTGGAAAAACAGAACTCCCCCTGCCTGGCCCTCAATGTTTGTGTTTACGGAGAATCTTCCTTTACACTTACTTAACTCTGCCCCCTGGAGAGAGGAAAGTGTGAGTTGGCCAGGAAAGACATACACACACACACACACACACACACACACACACACACTCGCCACCAGCTCAGGTAAGGAAGAACTGAACACCTCTGCATGGCGCAAAGCACCCACAGAAAAGCCGTCTGGCCCATCCTGGCAGTCTGAGTCCGGCAGTGGGACTTGTTTCCTAGTTCTGCGACCCACAGCTCCCTGAACCCCCTTCCACCTCAGAGACGGGAAATGCTTCCTCCCCACCTGCACCACACCCAGTTCTGCCCCCACTCACCACACACCCAGCCAGCAGCCCTTGCCCCAAGTGGATGATCCTATGCAGAGTCTTGGGAGGGTACCAATTATCTGAGACTATTACTGCTCATCCCTCTGGAGTACTTGGGGCTACCAGCTAAAGCCTCTCTGTGCCCCTGGCCACACCGTAAACAAAACACGCAATGGCCACACCCGTGGTGGCACAGAGGGCATTGAGCAGGTCATTTGGCCACAGGGTTTGGAATACATGAGAGACGCTTGCAATGGAAAAAGTAAGACTTTCCCAGTCTTCTTGGGAGCAAGTCTCAATGACCAGATGTCACGCACTCTCAGCAGCATGGCTGCTGGACCTGATGGCTGCATGAGGAACCACAAACCGCCCTTCCAAGCTCACTGCTTCAGCAGAGGGGTCTGAGGCCTAAGGTCCAGCTGCCAGCCACCAGCAAGCCACTGGCATGGCCAGCTCTCAGCAGCAGGGCTACATTCCTCAGCCCAGGCCACCTGCACCTGTCCTCCCAGGCAGGGATGGAGATGGAACCCTGACACTTGAGCTGGGCAGGAAGGATGGTCAGGGCCCTGTGGCCCGCCTGAAACAGAACCACCAGAGGCCAAAGAGTACAACTCTCTCCCAGGGCTTCCCTTTTCTTTCCTGTGATGTAAGTAAATGAAATCTTTTTATGTTTTATTTTTAAAATATAGATGGGCCAAAATACTAATGTCCACAAATAGGACAAATAATGTATGATTCCAGTTATATACCTAGAGTAAGACAGTAAGTAAAATCAAAGTTACCACATTTGGGGGGGAGCAAAGGGGACTACTGTCCAACTAGTGCAAATTTCTATCTGGGATGATAAGGGATTTTGGAAATCATGATGATTGCACAAGATTGTGATGTACTTACGCCATGGAATTGGACACTTAAAAATAGTTTAAAAGGTAAATTTTCTGATAAATAAAAATTTTACCACAGTACCAAATTTTAAAAGATTACATCTGAAAACAAATGATGGAAATCAAAATCTCCTAAAATTCTACCAGCTAGACAGTCACCATTAACGTTCTTCCATCCGTCCTTTCAGATGCAAATATAAATGGGTGATGCATATTTTACAAATATAACACACTTTGGTAACTGACTTCTTAGAAATATGTTTCTACATTGATGGACATAGACCTACTTATTTTGCAAACCACATGAAGGCATTTCAGTACATAGATATTCCAAAATTAACTAATTTATGATCATAAGACATTGAGTCTCTGCTTTTTGTTGCTGATGTTGTTATCGTGATTGGGAATAACACTGCAAGGGACCTCCCTGTCCAATTACAGCCTTAGGATGGAAATTCCAGTGGGTAGAATTTCTGAGCCAGGATAACACACCCCAGAGTTATCAACAGAGCAGTAACAGGAAACTACACCAAAGATGTTGAATTCTGATGTTTTAAAAAATTTCTCCCTCTATCTGGGCCTTGCTTGGATTCCACTTGGGTTTCTACAAAATAGCAGTTGTTCAAAAAGTCTTTTTCATAAGAAACCAGCCTCTTCCCAATCCTCTCCCAGGCCTTCTCTGGAGACACACCTTGCCTATCCAAAGTAAAACGGGTGCCCGAGGAGGACAGAAATATACTGGGTTATTGTCTTATCTTCTGCATTCCCCAGTCCACCAGGAAAGAGTCTAGAATGGCCCAGTGTAGGGATCCCAGTGATAGATCCAAGTCTGAATGTAGGAAAGGTTTTTCATTGTTTAAAGATTTTGTTCCTAAGTGGACAGGAGAAGGAAGCAAAGGCCTCTTTGGGAAACTGAGGCTTTAGGGAGTTTATAATTCTGGAATAAAGATTGTCTTAGGTTGGTTTCACCCTGAAGTAGACCCTGAGGCACCCATTCAAGTACAAGAAGATGTATGAGTGAGACAGGAAAGGGACCAGAGCCACTGCCGGGAGTGAGCTACGGCGAGTAGTGCCTGGGACTTGGTCCTGCTAAGGAACTTTGAGACCCACAGAGCATGTAGCATAGTGACCCCTGCAGAACAGAGAGAAGGCTGGGTATTTGTCACCACCAGTGGAAGCCAAGAGAATGCAAGCCAGACACTGATAGTGTTTATTTTCTTACCCCATATCCTGCCGCTAGAAAAGCTGGAGTGCAGGTGAAACCAAAGCGGACCCTCTTTCATCAGTTGCAGCAGGGAGAGTTAACCGTGAAGACTCAGCTGAGCAAGCCGTGGGTAAATCACCATGTCAATGAACAAGCCTGCTATGCTAAGTCACAAGGGGTCAGTGTGTCCAGTGAAAGCACAGGAATCTCTTTGCCAAGTTTCACCAACAGAAGGAAAAGGAGAAGTCCTCCCAAGTCACTCTGCCCATCAGCTTGGTAGGCTCCCTTCCAGGTCTCTGACCTCTGTGACATTTCCCGCTCTTTTCAGCCACAGCAGCCTTGGGCAGAGTCCTGAAGCCCCAGGCTGTTACCCCAAACATCTAATTCAGCTTTTGATTATAGGCTCAGTCTGCCATCCCAGGGATCATAAAGAATGACCCACTGGGGGTTCACTCTGAGTCTAAGGATGTCCCTGTTTACTGTGCCTCTTCCCCATCCAATGACCCACACCCTCCAAGGCCACATCCTCCACGGAAGCCCACGAGCAGGCCAAATAAACAAAACTAGCACCCCTGACCTGTGGGAGCTCACTCCACTTTAAGGACTTGTAAAAATTCTTCTGAAAGACAACAAGGTACTTTGGCAGGACAGGGTGTCACTGGGATGCCTAACTAAAGAGTGACAGCAAGAGGAGGAGGTGGCAGGAGGGTCTGCTACCCTAAGTTTATAAAGCCAGTGGGGACAGCTCTGGGCAACCCTGACTCAAGGACAGAGACTGGATACCTAGCACTGTTTGTCACGGGCTGGTGACACCCACTGCCTCTCCGAGCCTCTTCATACACTCTCTGGGTGACCCGGCGCTGCCTCTGCACCCTCAGATCCCAGGTAGTGAGGACACCTCCTGCCAATGTGGTCCACAGAAGACTGGGAGTATAATCAAGCCCAGGGCTTCTTTCTGCCTTCATGATGGGTCCTCCTTCCCGGTGACGCAATTGAGGGGCTGAAGGGAGCTCCCCAGCCAGCCTTCTTGGCCAGAGTGTAGACACAAAGCCCGAGGGCCCTGGGCACAGGACACAGGCCAGGGACTAGCCAAGCCCAAAAAGATAACCCTGGTGGCCAGGGCACTGCCACCCTGGTGGCACCCTCACCCAGGGTGAGGAAGAGACTGGAACTGAAACAGAGTGGGGTCCTCCACGCAAACCACCCCCCTCGTTGGTTCCTGTGTCATGCACACTGGGAAGTAGGCCTGGACTTCCGAACCACAGCCACATGGGGATGCAGACAGGTGGACTATGCAGCCCCCAGGATGGGCAGAGAGCATCTCGGGAAGGTGAGGCTGGTGCCAGCTGGACAAAGCAGATACAGGTGCAGCAATGCCTCAGCCAGGGAACCCCCACCTTCCCTGGCGTCCTCTCAGCGGGCTCCCCCAAGTCACTTGTCATCCTCCTAAAGAGATTTCAACAGCATAAAGAGGAAGGGGTGAAGCCCTTGAGACTTGTCTAGCTGTCCCCAAGCTTTCTCCTGCCTCTCCAGTACTCTATCTACCTCTGCTCTTCATTCACTAAAGGAGGAGCAGAGCCTCTCTTGCCAGGCTTCCAGCACGAAGAATACCAGACTGTACCAGCCCATACCCCCACATGCCCAGGTGCACCCCACACTCCTCCCACACTTTGCCCCAAGGCGAGAAGAGCACCTCCGTCTGAAACACAGCCACACTCTTGGCCCTACTTCAAGCTCTCTGAGCCCAAAGGAGCACCCGGAAGCCAGCACTGCACACTTCCCGAGCCCAATATATCTTAGCCAGGCTTTGCTCAGCCCTCAGATCACCTGCAGGAGAAGCTTCCGGTGAGTAAACATGGGTGGGAATAAGACAGAGAGGACCTCAGATTGTGCTCACAGGCTTTGGAAAGAAGGTCTTGGCAGGTCTCTGGCCATCTAAAGGGATCCCAGTTTCTTTCCTGTCATTGTCCCAGACCAACTGTTGCCAGAACCAAATCTTCCCCGTG